ACACAAAAATCATAATAAAAAATAAAAAATAAAAAATATTAACTATTATTCATGTAGAAATTCCGCTGTTTGTTTTTATTTTCACTAAAAAGAGAATAAAACAATGTTGTTCCTCTAAAAATTAATGAGAAATTTTAGTATAATCAAAGTATTTTATGTCCGTACAAAAAACAAGGAACATATTTTCCATGTGTTGTTATTTTTTTCATTTGATCATTAAAAGTAAAATATCTCTAAATGAATAGATATAAACACGAACAGTTATTCTTAAGTTTCATTTATTTTATATAAATTAAATAAAAAAAAAAAAAACAAAAATACCCGAATACATTAAGAAACAAGTCTCTCAACAAATTTTAAAATCGAAAGTTGTTTCAATAATTATTATATTAAAAATTTCAATTATGATTTAATCGATAATTATATTAAAGATAATTATATTTATTCGAAACTTACACAAATAAAATGATAATTATTTCATAAAATCAATCGTGACATAGGGAAAACAATGTTCCTTACAAATTTTGTCTTATGCAAAGAAAAAACCAATAGTTTCAATTGTATAAACATAATGATAATTAGTTTTCATAGAAAACTCTTTAATTTTTCTTTAAATTGGAAAAAAAACTGAAGTAAATGAAAGTTTTTATTTAAATATTGTTCTTTTTTGTTTTATAAAGGATCCATCATTGAGTAAAAGAAAAATATTATTTTATTTAATAAAATTTAAGAACTAAATGTCAGAAAAATCCATAAATACATTAAATAAAAAAATAATTTGTCAAAAAAAATCCTAAAGTTTAATAAAAATAAATGGCTGCAAGAGAAACGCCTACTAAAATCTTTTTGCGTTGTAATCTTAAAAAGTCTGTTTGTTTGTTTGTTTCTTTTCTTTTTTTTGTTTCTTTCTTCCTTTCTTCCTTTCTTCCTTTCTTTCTTTGCAAATATTAGCGTCGTATGCCCTCCTCATACGGGTCAAGAACGTCGTCATTTATTTTCTTTTTTTCTTGTCTCTCTCTCGTATTATCAAAGAACAAGGCAATAGCAGGGCTAAACACGAGGGTTGAAATAAGTAAATAAATATGCCAATAACTGAGAAAGAATGTTCTTTATTTAAAACATCAGTTGCTTCAAACATGGATATCGACCAACAAAGTCAAAAAGTATTTTCTTTTTCTTATTTTCTTTTTTTTTAATGACACTAGTTTTCTCAATATTTATATAACATCTTCATTTTATTGTAGGTTTTAGGAAAGTTTTTTAATTTTCCATTTAAAAAACGAAGTTTTTTTGTTTTTTTATTTGAAATTCAACTAAATATTCAAATTGAATACAAAAAAGTAAAATAGATATAATTTTTCATGTTTAAGATGTCGCTAGAAATTTTACACATTCAAAACAATAAATATGAAGTAAACAGAGAGATTTATGAATATAATCAACGAGAATAATCCTTGAACTTTCTAAGCTTTAATAAAACATTTTTGTTTTTGTTTTTGTTTTTGTTTTTGTTTTTGTTTTTGTTTAAAAAATGGTCAATGCGATATGTTTATTTTCTTTATCTCATTCTATAATGATATATGATAATATTATTTAATAGGATGTGTCAAAAGTGTTTAATATATTACGATCTAAACTAAATGCTAAAGAAAAAGAATTACTTGAACTACAACGATCTGAACCATGTTTATTAGCACCTGATTCAGAACAGATAGATACATTGGTCAATGAAATATGTTCTCTTCATTTATCAACACAAGAAGGTTCATTTATATTTGCTTCGAATTCTCTTTCTGATAGTTCTTCATCAACAAGTGTGTCTTCAACAGGTATTGATTTAATAAAAACTTTACCATCAACTGTTTGGTTATCCGAATCAAATCATGTTAAATATAAAGAAGAAGAAGAAGAAGAGAAAAATGAATATCGTTTACCTATGGTCACTCATATTTTTTCCTTACCAATTAATGCATTTGTAGCTTCATCATCAAATAATTCAAAATTACCATTATTTGAAAAAACAGTTCAACCAGAAAATGAATCATTAAATCGTCTTCCGATAGTTAGTCAACTTCTTTCAATGCCTATAAATGCATTTAAATCATCATCGAATATTCAATCAATGAATGATTCTTCACTTGTTAAAATAAACGATAGAAAAAAAACGTATGTATATATTATCTTTGAGTTTTTTTTTTTTTGTTCTTCAGATGATCAAAATAATATTATTTTAAATTAAAAGATAAATATTAAATAAATTATTTTTATTCTAGAGTAAATAATGATGAGAATATATTAACAAGAACAGAACCACCAAAAAGTATTTTTAATACAGAAACAATTTATTCAAAAGAACATTGGCTTCGAAAAACTTCATCAATTCAATCAGAATCAGAATCAGAATCAGAATCCGAATCAGTTTGTTTAGATTTAGATTCATATATTGAACAAACAACGGAGAAAATGCGTCGTCTTCATATGGAATATGTTGAAGCACTTGAGAAATTAAAAACACCAACAGATCCAATAGATTCTTCAAAAACACTTAAATCTATTTATCCAAAAATGTTTGATCGAATTAAAGAGGATATAACAACAAAGAAACTCACTAATCTTCCTTCCTCAAAATAAATAACTTTTTCTTTTTTATATCAATAAACTAATTACACGAAACAAAACAAATCCTTTTTGATATCTTTACTTGATTAACAATAGATCTTTTATGATCGTTAATAGGATCCAAGATAAAAACAAATAAAATTATTAAAATAAACAATTTTAAAACAAAATTGACAAAGAATTTTATAAAATTTGACTTCATCTATATAAGTTACAGTTATTTTATTATTATTCACATAAAAATGGCTTTTATTTAAGGGCATCTCGACCCTCTTCCACGTTTCTCAACAACAGTTCGAACAAAAATTGTCAAACTGTCAAAGTAGGTATATTCCGACTAGTAGATCAAAAATTTTTGTAGACTTTGAATACTCCAATGCTTCCTTCTATGATATATAGAGAATACAAGATTTATAAAGAAATTAATATTTTCTACAAGCAGAGTTAGTTCATTCTTACAACTAAATTAGGCTGTATAGATTTTATTTATTTGAAAGATATTGTTTCTTTCTCTTAGAAGAATCAAAATATTGAAAGTTTTCTCAAAAAAAGAACATGTTTTTTTTTTTGCCTAGGATAAATTTTGTAAGATCTGCCAAAAATCATCAGAAAATTATTTTAAGAAAAAAAAAAAATACTGCAACTTAATTCTGATTGTTATACCAAAAATTGACTGTGAGAAAAACGTACAGTTTTTGCTATTTTTTCTACTGAAATGTTTGGTTTGAAAAAAAAATGTTCTCGTTTTGTTGGAATGGAAAATCTTAACTTTGTATTTGAAGTAGCTATTTGAGACGTGTAACCAATCGTTGCATTTTTATGTGAAATCCATTTATAAAAATGAATTTTTTTTATATAATTGAATCCATCATGAACAATATTACACAGATCAGATCCTACAAGACAAATATCAAGATAAGCAATTGAAGGAATATGCTCAAGGCTACTCTCTCTCTCTTTCTCTTTCTCTCTCTCTCTCTCCTTAAAAAATCGATTTTCGACAGAGTCCATAGAATCTCTCTGGAACTTTTCATAAATCTTGGGCACATAAAAGGAAACTTAGGAAAAGTTCTTTACAGATCTAAACCTCAACTGTCAGAAGTTTTCTAGAGATCAAGATTTAAAATGAATCCTCGACCAGTACAAATTCTTTTTCATTATACTTCAATGTGTATAGCTGGGAATTGGTTTTATTTGCAAGAGAACTGTTTATCGATTCAGATGAGGGGAAGAGTTTTTTCAAATTTTACACTGTTCAATTTAGGGACGTTTAAAACCCCAAAACTTTCAAAATCTTATCCGGAATTGTTTTTAAAATCCTGGATTTATTTGAGATTGGCCACTAAAATAGAAAATCCTTTTCCCTCACCCGAAGTACTATAGGCGTATCCATCTATTAAAAAAATTGCAGCTCTCTAGGATGAAGTATCTTGAAAAAAAATTTGTTCGCAGATCGACCATTCCGATAAAAATTAATTTTGAGAAAATCGATAAACAACTTGAAAACCGTTGTTAAACACTATATGGAAAAAAAGAATTCTAGACGTTTTCTAGAAATCTGACACTACCGTCATACAAAGCGTGAAGAGAAACCTGCATACTTAAAATTTTAGAATTTTCAGTCATTGGGTAAACAGGAAAGAAGATTTTTAATCACGAAGATATGCGTCACTATAGGCCGAAAAACTTTTATAACTCATTACAGGAACCACATTTCGTTATGAAAGTTTGGATACAAAAGTAACTTGACATGTTGAACACGATGGTACTATCAGTTTTCTAGATAAAATACGAAAATCTGAGAGGATCTCCAGAAAACTCCTGAAAAACTTGAAAAAAGACTGGCCAGTTACAAAAAAAGATGACCGAGAACAACTCAAACCCATTTATCTCCTGAAACCAAAGACATGTACTGAAGAGGAAACTTGATAGGGGGAGGGAGGAGAGCGGGTGGCATTCTTAATGACATATTTTAAAATAATTTGACGATCTTCTAAAATTCATGTTTTGATGAATTTAGTAGAATCTGTTTGAGCATATTCTATAAAATTGATTATTTCATGAAAATATTTTCTGGTTCCTTGTCATATATTCAATAGATAATAATTAAAATTAGTATTATTAACATTGGTTATGAATGTTTATAGTTGGTACAAAAGCATATCAAAAGTTTGTTTTTTCTTTTATTGATTTACTTGTGATGAAAAATTAAAGATCTATAGAAAATTAAGTGTTTTGAATATTTCTACTAGATGTCCTTTTTGATTCTGTAACTTCTTTGATAGAATTAAAATTAACAAATTCTTATTTTTAGAGAATAGAAATATGAATTTAACAAGGACAAAAATAGAGAAAATGGAATTAAACCTTCAATATAGAATTATCCTTGATCAATAAGATCTGTTTGTTGAAAAATTCTTTTAATCGAAACTCAATTTATTATTGAGATATTGTTAAACGAATTTAATAATATCTCAATAATAAAAATAATTCATAAAATTGTATTAATTACCATAGGAACCATTAATAGTCAACATCTTGAAAAAATAACAATAAAATATGATGAATTTTCAATTGATAATATACTTGTCAACAGTTTTTCTTGAAAATTTGTTGAATTATCTGATTAATGATAACGTGTTTTATGATTTCCATTGATCCAATCAGTTATATAAATATTTACTACAGAGAAAAAAAAAACAATTAAATGAAGATTTACTAGATGAATTAATTATATTATTTCATTTGTATCTCATGTTTTTTCTGATGAAATCTGAGATTAAATTAATTTAATTTATTTTATTGTTTTAATTATGATTCGACATTTGTTGATAAAATAAAACCAAATTTTAGTATATTCATTAGAATTATTAAATAATTTTATAGTTGTCAAGTAGATATAAGAATAAAACTAAATTTAGAGAATTCTATGAATTTAATTATTAATGATTATGTGGAATAATATATTCACATAAATAAAACATTATTAATTTTAAATTACTTAATAATATTTGAAAAAGCGTTACTTCAGTAATTCGAAGTATTGGAGTTGCATATTTTCTTCCTTTGTGTTTATATCAGAAAAGCAACAAATGAAATTTGTTTCAACATCACTTTTAAATCTATTCATAATAATTAATCTTCTATAATCAAATATAAAAATTTCATTCTGTTCCATTAGCTGAGGGTATGGTTGAGTGTGGGGTATGAGAAGTGCGCGAATGAAAAAAAAATACCACACATCCACATCCACATCCACATCCACACTCTTATTATCATAATTATTTAATTAATATCTTTAAGATATTCAATATAAATGACTCTTAATCATTAATTCGAGTTTAAGTGATAAGACATGACGTAGAATTTATAGTTTGTCTAACAGGAATAATTGAAAATGACTATTTTTATTTTAGATAATCGAAATAGAAATAATAATAATAAAATCTATGTGTCATAAATGTATTATATATTATTTTAAAAATAAATGAGTCTGAATGTAAATATAGTTTAAAAAATATATTAAATTCTATTCAAAAATAATCAACTCATTTTTATTAAGTTTCTTTTACTAATTTTTCATTAAAACTCGAATAAATAAACTATTTTTCTATTTAATTTGAGTTTTTTCTCAAATCGATTTATCTAACATATAAAAATGATTTAATCAATTCTATTTTTTGTATTATCTTTCATTAATTTTTTATTGTGTTGTCACAAAAGTTAACGATTGACTCGTATATATAAATAATAATTAATAATAAAATAATTTTTATATGAATTAATAATATTTTACATAATTAATATCGAAACTACGACTGACCAACATATATATCACAATATTCTACATGTAATTTTCTCCGAGTTTATATTTTATTATATTCTATTTATATATATATATATATAAATAAGATAAATTTTCATGAAATTTCATTATGATCTTATATGTGTTTACTTAGTTATGAACACATATTAACTTTAAAACATTAATAAATGAGTAAAATTTGAAAATTTTTCAATATGAAAATAATGCTTGTATTAATTTATATAGATGTATGAAAAATGGACATATTATTATCTCTAAAGGTCTCATCTCATTAAAAATAGTCAGTCAAATACGATTCGATTTCCTTACTGATTAGTTAGAAATAAGATTTGATTTTTGTTTATAGATGATTATTTAACATATTTTAAATTTCAATGTATCGAAACAAAAAATTGACATTGAAGAAAATTCTATTCAGCTAAATGAATAAATCGATTCAATGTGATGAACCATAATTTAACTTTTATAATACAGAAAATATTGAATACAAAAAAGAAAAGTTTTATTTTCTGTTGAAAAGGAAACATTTATTTTTTTTATCTATTCTACATTTGTGTTTTATAGTTTCAGAAATGATAATGCAATAATTATCAGATCAACAATAATCATTATTGTCAAAATCTATTATATTATCATTAGAATAAAAAAAATGACAAAAACAAATGTTTCCCATAAAAAGTATTTAGCATCAATCAATCGATTATCTATATATCAGTTAATGAAGGTTTGATCGATAAATTAATATATGATTTATTTTTAGGAAATTTTTCTATTATATTAATGTTATTTATAGTCGTTGAATGTTAATGTACTTATAACATAATAGGATGAATTCGATAGTTTCCAAGCTGTATTTTATCGCATCCTTCTTTGTTGTTCTTTTTATGTCTGGTTAATGATGCAAGAAATTCTAAAAGAAGAAGAGAAGTAGTATCATGAGAGAATAGAGGAATGGAATGGAATGGATAGACAAATAAAAAAGCTAACAGTAAACTAAGATAATAATGCAGTATATTGCAATGAAAAAAATCAAGCAAAATTAAGAAAATAGTTGAATATAAAGTTCCATGAATATGAGCATAATAAAAGAACAAAAAAATAATCAACCAAATAGGAATTTTGTTCAGATTCTCTCCTATTTTCTTTTCTTTGTTTTTTGTTTTTTAATAATCTCAACATAATTATTTTAACATGAATAATAGAGAAGGGAACTATAAATAATATTGCTACAATTCCTCTTATCTACCAAACTAAATTATTTTTTATTAGGAAATTACCAAACAAATTGTGTTATTTAACGATTTGTACATGAATATTTGTGTATAACTTCTCTAAGCTACAGGTTTTTATTCTAAATGATTAAATAATACAATACAGAAAAATTTCGCACCACAATCAATACAAAGAAAAAGTTTTATTCTTTTTTGTCTCCGCCGGCGTTGTGTTGTACATTTCCACCTTTTGATGCTGAGTTTGCATCAGTTCCACCGGATCGATTACCACCCGTACCTGAACTGGCCACCAATTTGCCTGGATCTTGAGTAGGTTTCCAACGTGATCCTGCGGAAGCTGGGCCTGCAAAAGCTGGACGCATTTTTACCAAATAATGGAAATATATTAATTGTTTGAAGAAATAGAGATCAACGAAGAATTAAATATCTTACAGAGAAATGCTGATATATATATATATACGTATATAAGAGATAGAAGAAATGCAATTAACGGAATAAAGAGAGAAAAATAGAAAATGTCGCTAGCAAAAGAGAAAGGTATCAATATGTTGTTATTGATGATAGAGATGGATCTTCTTCTCTTTTGTTTGATACATTGTTATCAGACATATAAGTCTATACAAGACAAACGAACATCATTAATATTAGTTAAGGTCAAAGATAACCAATATATTAGCATTTATTGACAATTTAAATTGTTACTTTATTGCATTTTTTCATCAACTTTGAATTTTTGATTAAATTTTCTAATCTAATTTATTATCCTAAAAAGAAATAAATGTTTGTTTTTTTTAAGCCGATAATTAAAAATGAGATATAATTAATTGTAGATAATTTAAAACAAATTCTGAATAATATGATTTATATTTGAATAACAATATCTGTAACATATTATGTTAATAAGGTTAGAAAATATTCTATCATTTATATTTTATCTCACTGGTAAATATAATGATTTTTCCATGAATATTTTTCATCATCTTGTTTATTTTCTATAAGAGTAGAATTAATATACCAAGATTTTGTTCGATGTATTTCCGATATTTGTGACCTTTATGAAATATTCAGATTGAGTAAAACACATATTCAAATAATTCATATTAAATCATTTTGATGTTTCTAATGTCTTTCGAATTCTGTTTAATAAATTATTCAATCAATAAATCGAAATATACTAATGGCAACTTTAATAGATATATTTATTAATGATCGGATGTTTTTTGCTTGTGAGGAATGTTTATGTTTAGATTAGAATAAAACCCACTCATATACTCAATCATTGGCAATTTATTTATTTTTAATATTTTTGGTTTTTATTCGATCTACATTCATCTCTACTTTTCGATTCTGCTAGCGTCAGAAAACTTCTGCACAATACATTCATTTTTCGAGTTTAATTTTGCTTTTTTCTAATATTTAAGCAGTATTCATTTTTATATTGTTTTACAATCAAATATGTTTTTGTCGAAGTAAATATTACAATTTAGTTTAGTGAAAAATTATCTTGCTTATCACTAAAATATAGACACAATGCAACAATTATAGACTTGTCAACAAAATAATATTAATTATAATAATGAATAGGATGGATAATCAAGAAGATAAAAAGAGTTCAACAATGTAGATTGTTAATGAATCTACAGAATCAATATTCAATCTCTCCAGGAAGAAAAATCTCTATAAAACGATTCAGTAAAAAGAACTTTTCGTCTAGGGAACTACTTTCCTTCGGAAAAATTTGATGTAAATGTCTGCAACTAGATTATTTCTACCGTCTATGATGAATTAATCGTCCTATTCAAACATAAACTCATATAATGATGGGTTCAGCAGAGATAGAATTGTTTGACAAAATCTTATCCAAGATCGATCTCGTGTTGGTTGTTGTTCTTGTGCTAAATGATGAAAGAGTAGAGAAAATATCTGATAACTAATGGAGCGTAACATGCCACGGTAACAACGATCTTTAATATAAAAATTGTCTTCTAACTATATTTTTCCCTTCTGTTGCCATATATCATTGTTTGAGAGACGGATCAACTCGTATTACTTATGATAAATACAATTCTGTTTTTCGATACGGATGATGATCTTTTCTTCTTACTCATATTTACACTTTGTACCTCATTTAGTTTTTTCTATCAGCAATAATAACTGACTAATGGTAAAGTCCTTTAAATAAGAATATTTATTTTTTTTTTATTTTTTCAAGTCAATTAAAAAGTATTGTGAAAAACCGGTCAAAATAAGGCACAAATCTTATTCTATATCACTTGTTATAAGATACTTTATAAAATTTCGAAAGATTTTTTATTTGTTTCTCAGTAGTAGCGCGTATAGAATGTAATGAACTTAATAATAATGTTAGAATTAAAAACCTCAAGAGTTATGAATTTCACTTAAATGTATACCTTTCTACTCGAGACAATCTGCACTAATCAGATTCTACAAAGTATTAAAAATCTCTAATATCAATTTTTTCCAAGTCTTCGTCACTAAAATATCAAATTTTAGTTGTACTTCCGTCACAAAGCCATAATTTACAGTCCGATTCTTAATAATATCAATTTTCCAATTGCAGATAATAAACTTCTAACTTGATAGAGTTTGATTGAAAGTGTCTACCATAAAATTTTTCATATCTATATCTTGCAAATGTTTCTATTTTCAAAGTAATGAAAATCTGTGTATGAAACTGGTAGGATTTTTTTCTTTTTACAGACAACTTATTTAATGGGAAAAATGAATAAACTAAAATCTAAATAATGAGATTATTCAAATGGTAGTTTTTTCTGACAATGAACTACGAAGTTATATCAAAACTTCTATCTTTTTTAAAGACCTTAGACCAATTCAACAGTCAGTATTCAAGATGAATAAGCAATTTATCGTGTTGATAGACTGACAAAATATAATAAAGATCAGATATATCAGTATTAATGTCTTAGAAAATACAAATATTTTATACTTTTTATTGGTTACCTCAAAATAGTGTTCTAATTAATAACAAGGTATTCATTTTTAAAAAAAATAATAATAAGTTTTTCAGCAAATGAAAATATTGATGATTAATTTACATAAGTTATTTTATTGATTGATTTTTATTGATAAATCAGTAAATTTTCTCGTTGAACATTTTTAATTGTACAAGAAAACAATAGAATTAAATAAAGACAATTCAAAAACATATTAACTGATTATTCGATAAAACAAAATGAAAAAGAACTTTTATTATATAACAATTTATCAAATTTCCGTAAACTGTTATGATTAAATAATTGATTATGCATCGCGTTACATCAAAACATTCAAAATCCTTAAGTTTAGTCGGATAAAAATGTCGTTAATTAATTAAGTGAATATTCTATTAGCTATGTTTTAAAAGTTGATATCCAAACTATGTATATAATGACATCCATTCTTTTTTTTTTTTCTTTAAACAAGAAATATATCGAAAGTTCTCGACACATTAGCAGACTCGAAGGTCTTCAACATATCGAAAAATCTTACGTCAATGTATGTATGATATGACTATTTTTTTTTTCTAAAAACGTAGATTTATCGGTGAAATTGCTTTTGTTAACGTTTGAATACGTTGTATAGAGAGAATCGATTCAAAGTAAAATGTATCAATAGTATATTTATAAGTTCCGATCTAACTTTAATAAATATAATTGTCTAACAAGAAACAATTGATATAGAAACATGCAGTTAAATATGAATTCAATGTTTCTATATTTTTATTTTGTGTTTGTTTTTAAAAAAAATCTTTATATATTTCTGCAAAGAGAAATGTGTTCATAGGCTTAGAATAAATCAAGACCTTCTAAGGTGCAACTAATTCGAAATTTGAGCACTCTTCATTTTTTCTTTAGACATACATTTCTAGATTCAATTTTTAATGCTGATTTTCCATATATAGGCTGTTTTTATTAATTTTGACACTCCATTAGTATTTTGCGATTTTCTCTATGAAAACTTTGTCAAATCGAAAAAATAAGAAAATATTCGTAATCAGCATTAAAAATTGAATCTAGAAATGTATGTCTNATAGAAAATAATTTAAAACATTTTGATTTATCTGAAATAAATTTATCTGAAATAACACCAGATTCTCGTTGTTATTTAATTCATTTTATATATAATAATTATAAACGTCAATTGAATATAATTTTTCCTCGAATTGAAAATTTAACTGAATGTGATTGTGCTCGATTTATTCTTATAGATATTCAATATAATAATAAATTAACAGATAATTATAATGATGATTTATTATGTAAAAAAAAATGTCGTTTTAGTGATTGTTCAATAATAAGTGAATATTTTCGTGAAAAATATCCATTATTTACAAATAATAATCAATTTATAAATAATTCAAATGAGTTAAATAATGATTTACCTTCTGTTGATTTATATTCTGATTCAATTGATATTGATATGATGCATTTTCTCATTAATCAAACAATTGATCAACCAATAAATATAAATCATAGGTAAATAAAAGTAAAAGAGGAAAAAAGATTAGAAATATATATATATATATATATATGTTTATTCTATTTTAGACAATCAACAAACATACCTTTAACAACTTTTCAACATTCTTATAATGTTTTATTTTCAACAGAAAAAAAATATTTTCATTCGATTGATGAAAATAATAAAAAATTATCAAAATCTAAAAAAATCAAATTTATTTCTTGGATATCATTTTTAATTAGTAGTATTATTCTTTTACTTTTAATTATTATCATTTTTATTATTATATTTTGTCTTGTAAAATATAGAAAAAAAAGACATTTCAAACCTATTCCTATTCCTGTTTATGTTTAGTATTTAATAAAAATATTTACCATTATCATTTCGAGAAATTTTCAATATTTTCCTTTTTTTTTTTTTCTTGTTCAAGAAGAAAATCATTTATTTTAATAATACTTTAAATAACAATATTTAATAATATAATATAGATCAACATCAAAATATGATCAATAATTTGTGTCTGAGGGAGAAAAATATCAATTTTATTAAAATGAAATTTAAAAATATTAATGAAAATGAATCATAATGTTTATTTTCGATTTCCTATATCATTGACTTCAATGTAAATATGTCTTTAGATTTTATCTTTCAATGTTACGAATGATATATAAAAATGATAGAAAGATGAATAGAATCAATTTCAATTATTTATTTCAGAGTTAAATTTAGTTATTAGTTTTTTACGCCTTATGTTATTAATGAAAATAATTATCTATTGATTAGATTTGTTTTTTTCTTCCATCAAACATTTGGATAGCCCTGCATATTATATAGAAAAGATATTGTTTTGTTGATGTACTCTCAATCGACATTCTTTCGTTCTGTCTGTTTCTATATAGCTGAGACTGGTACCAACATCCACAAAATAGTCAATTCATCTTGCTGGTTTTTTTTTCTTTCCTAATAATATTATATCGTCTTTTTTTTCTTCTTTTCTTTGACGCGTCACACCAAAAGACCGAGAGAAAAAGAAAAAAAAAGAAGAGAAGAGAAGTAAAAGAGTAAAACATCAGCATCTTGGTAAAGGCAATCGCGAAAATAAAACTTACCCGTTTAAAAACGGGAAACTATGAATAGTGAAACAAAAAACCCGCCTCCGTCATTAGTGACACCAGATGAAGCTATTGATTCTATCACTGACAACACACCATTATCAATACAATTATATCAATACGATCGAAACGAAAAGAATAACTCACAAATGCTATTTACACGTAAAGTATTAATTCAACAACGTCTTATGAGATGGTGTGCACTTTTTTTATCACTTGGAACAACAATTATAATATGGCGTTATATTTCAATATTAATTCTTGCTGTTTGGTTATCAACTATATGTCGACCAGTTCTTGAATGGCTCGTCAATCATTTGTAAGTTTACTTTAGAAAAAAAATTTAAAAAAAAAAAAAAAAAAAAAAAAAAACAGACAAACAAAATAATTATTGATTTAATTATTCGAAACGATGTTTGTAGTTTTTATTTTCCTTGTTTTCATATAAGATTCAATTTTAATAGTAATAAATGAATTAATAATTCGATATAAATATTAACTTCTTAAAAATGTAATCGATAGAAATTATTCTATAGAAGATATTTTATATAAAACTTGATCGTTGTTGATTTGATTAGAATATTCATTCAAGGAAAAACGTTGTTTTTATGTTCTGTATGATAATAATATGTTTTTCATTTAAATATAAACAAGTCAAAGAATTAAGAAAATTAAAAAGAGTAACAATTTATTATTAATATTGTTCTAAACTATTTTTAGACCGTTAATGAATCGATGTCGGGAAAAAAGTTCTCGTTCAGCAATAGCTGCATTTTTACTTGTTTTTTTTGGCATTGTTGTGATAATACCAATTATTTTAATAATAATTGCTTTAACGGGTTCAACCCTTAATTTTGTTGCAAGTCTCTCAAATTCTACAACAGCTCGAAATGCAATAAACATTCTTGTACCTCCAATAAACAAAAATGATAATAATAATAATAATTATAATAATAATAATAATAATTCAAAAGAATCATCATCATTCAATTCGACAAATCAAAGTTTTATTGATTTTATAAAAGGTGGAAAAAATGCAACATTTAATTTATTAGAACGTCTTTTAATTCAACGAGATACTATAACTGATGTTGTACAATTATTTGGTGGAAAAGCTTTATCAGTTTTATCAACTGTTGCTGGTGCTACAGCTCAAGTTAGTTGATAATAATAAATAAATAAATAAATAAATAAAAATATAATTTTTAGTTTATTATTGGTATATTAATATTTTTGGTTTCAACCTATACATTTTTATTACATGGAGTTGAACTTTGGACATGGGCAGTAGTACATAGTCCATTATCAGTTAAACATATGGAACGTTTTAAAGACGCTTTTCAAGAAACGGGACGTGGTCTTTTAATTGGTGTATGTTTAACTTGTGCTGTACAAGGTTTAGTTTCTGCTATTGCTTATTTATGTTTACAAATTCCACGTTGGTATGCACTTGGCGTTTTAACTGGTTTTTGTTCCTTAATTCCAATTCTTGGTACAGCTATTGTTTGGATTCCAATAACAATTGGTCTTTTTCTTCAGCAAGCTTATTTAAAAGCAGTTATTATGATTATTGTTGGAGTTTTAGCTATTGGATCTGTTGATAATTTACTTCGACCAATTTTTTCCAAAATGGCTTCATTACAAATGTCAACATTATTATTATTATTAACAATATTTGGTGGATTAGAATTATTAGGAGCATGGGGAGCTCTTCTTGGTCCATTAATTGTTCGATTAGCTACTGAAGCAATTATTCTTGTTAGAGAAGATGAAGATAATCAAGAACAAAATGATGTACCATAATTATTTAAATTTAACTTTTGATTTTATTCTTGATATTATTTTTTTGTTTAATCTTTACTTTTTTGGTGTATAGATGAAAATAATTATGATTTTAAAATCAATTAAAAGTATTTTTCAATGAATAACAATTCTTCAATATAGAATTAAAATTAAACAAAAAGAAAAATATATATTTAATTAAAATATTCTCAACTGATAAAATACTTTAATAATTTTGACTTGAAATTATTTATATGAATTTTGATTAAAAAATTTTTAGATAAATTTTTAAAAATAAAAATAAAAATAAAAATAATTTTTCTCATCAATAATTAA